TATATGCTTGCTATATAGAGAGCAAGCATATAGAGTTGAGGTACCTCTTTCATTTTTGTGTTTTTTTTGTGTTTTGGTTCCTATAGTTTAACACAAAAGGAAAATCCTCTTTTGGGTGATTCCATTTATGTTTCCAGGCATAATCCAAATTAAGCCCTTACAGAAGCCTTAAAAAGACTCCAAAAAGCAGAGACTAGGTAGCAGAGAGCCAATATACCCCAATAGTAGGTAGTAATACATAAAAATGAAAAATAATTAAAAAACTCACATAATATATACACCTTTAACAAAATAGGTAAAGGTAAAGGTTCCCCTTGAAAATTTTTGTCCAGTCGTGTTCGACTCTAGGGGGCGGTGCTCATCCCCGTTTCCAAGCCATAGAGCCAGCATTTTGTCCGTAGACAATCTTCCGTGGCCACATGGCCAGTGCAACTTAGACACGGAACACTGTTACCTTCCCACCAAGGTGGTCCCTATTGATCTACTCGCATTTGCATGCTTTCGAACTGCTAGGTTGGCAGGAGCTGCGACAAAGTGACGAGAGCTCACTCCATCGGGTGGATTCGATCTTACGACTGCTGGTCTTCTGACCCTGCAGCACAGGCTTCTGAGGTTTAGCCCACAGCGCCACCACGTCCCTTTTAACAAAATAAGTATAGAGTTAATTAATCAAATTATAATATTTTAAAAATCACTCAAACAGGACAAGTGCACATGCACGTACATACACATGCACATGCACACACATACGCACACACATACACCCCCCTCTCCCCAAACCAAAAGAGCAAGCAAATAAAGGCAAAAAATACAATTAGCCCCTCCAAATAAAACTCCTAGAATAGAGGGAGATTTCTCTCTGCTGTACTACCTGTCACCAGTGTGACACGGCTGCCAAGAAAGCCAGTGCGATTCTTGGTTGCATCAATAGGGGTATAGTGTCTAGAATCAAGGGAAGTGATAGTACCACTCTATTGTGCTTTAGTCAGACCTCACCTGAAGTATTGTGTCCCGTTCTGGGCACCTCAATTCAAGAAGGATGTTGACAACCTGGAACGTATCCAGAGGAGAGCAACCAAAATGGTCAAAGGTCTGGAAGTCATGTCCTACGAGGAGTGGCTTAGGGAGCTGGGAATGTTTCGCCTTACAAAAAGAAGGTTAAGAGGGGACATGATAGCCATGTTTCAATATTTGAAGGTATGCCATGTCGAGGAAGGGACAGGTTTGTTTTCCACAACTCCAGACACTAGGACAAGAAGCAATGGTTTCAAACTACAGGAAAAGAGATTCCACCTGAATCTCAGGAAGAACCTCCTGACAGCCAGAGCTGGTTGGCATTGGAATAGGCTGCCTTGGAGTGTGGTGGAGTCTCCTTCTTTGGAGGTTTTTAATCATAGGCTGGATGGCCATCTGTTGGGATTGCTTTGATGGAGTTCCTACATGGCAGGGGGTTGGATTCAATGGCTCTTGTGGTCTTTTCCAACTCTGTGATTCTATGATTCTGTTCCCTGAGTTCTACAAGAAGCAGCAGGCAGTAAAAATAATCCAACAAGGGAAGGGATTCAAAAAGGTATCCAAGAAAGCAGTGGGCAGGAATCAAAAATAATAATACCAAGGAGTTATGCTGCATAAGTAGGCTGCCTAGTAGCAACAACAATAATCTAGGGGGGTGTCTCCCTCAAAATTAAGCAAATAATGAAGGAATCCAAGAAGATCCAGGCAGGTAGTATTCGAGATGGAGGGCACCAACAGGAGCTCAGCGCAGTATCACACTCAGAAGGAATGATGGAAGCAGAACATTCCTCACTAGATACCAGGGTCTTCCACAGATTCAGAGCTCCTGCTCTCCCTGGGCTGATTGGCCGCGGCAACTTTCCTTGGTCACACCATCATGTCTTTGCAATAGCCTTTGCTATGCTGTAGGATGAGAACTTTTTGAGGCAATTTGATACACCAAAGGATGCAGTGAATCCCCTTCAAGGATTTCTGCCTTGTCTTGGTGAAGGGGCTTGAATAATTCAGAGAAGCTATGGGCTATGCCGTGCAAGGCCACCCAAGTCATTGTGGAGAGTTCGGACTAAACGCGATCCACCTGGAGCAGGAACTGGCAAGACACTCCAGTATCTTTGGCAAGAAAACTCCATGGACAGAAACAAAAGGCTAAAAGATATGATGCTGGGAGATGAGCCCCTCAGGTCGGAAGGCGTCCAATATGCTACTAAGGAAGAGTGGAGGACAAGGACAAGTAGCTCCAGAGCTAATGAAGTGGTTGGGCCAAAGCTGAAAGGACGCTCAGCTGCGGACATGCCTGGAAGTGAAAGGAAAGTTCGATGCTGCAAAGAAAAATACTGCATAGGAACCTGGAATCTCAGACCTATGAACCTTGGTAAGCTGGATGTGGTCAAACAGGAGATGGCAAGAATAAGCACTGACATCACAGAAGCGGAAGACATCAAGAAGAGGTGGCAAGAATACACAGAGGAATTATACCAGAAAGATCTGGATGTCCCGGAGAACCCAGATAGTGTAGCTGCTGACCTTGAGCCAGACATCCTGGACAGCGAAGTCGAATGGGTCTTAGAAACCATGGCTAACAACAAGGCCAGTGGAGGTGGTAAAGCCCTCCTTAAAGGGTGGGGGACCTGTCAAAATGACGGTTTGATGAAGGCTACCCTGTTATACTACTGAGGTGATGGCATTGCAGTGGAACTGTTTAAAATCTTAAAAGATTACTCTGTTAAGGTGCTACACTCAATATGCCAGCAAGTTTGGAAAACTCAGCAGTGGCCAGAGGACTGGAAAAGATCAGTCTACAACCCAGTCCCAAAGAAGGGCGGTGCCAAAGAATGCTCCAACTACCGTACAATTGCACT